CAAAGCAGCAAATCACCATAGTCCTGGAGTTCACTTGCTCTGCTTGGGCCACATGGTCCAGAAATATGCCTGTGGGGTACAGAAATGGGGCTCCTGCCCCTGCCAGACTTAGAAGGTACCTATGAGTGGTGAAGCCTTCCCACCTGCACTGTGTAACCCCAGCCTGGACAGGTAGTGCTGAGCCCCATGCACTGTAACTGGAGCTGCTGGGCTGATATAGAGGGTTCAGGGGCTTTCAGCACATGGCCACCAGCAGTTGCAGCATGGCAGTCCAAGGCAGGGTCCTGCTGACCTGGTGCTCTACCAGCCTGTGCAGGGGCCATTGGCTCCCCCCACCTGGCCTGCCAGGCAGCACCCATGGTTGACAGACACCTGAAGCCCCTGGTCACCCTCTAACAGCCAGGTGGCTTCAGACATGGAGCATGGAGCTTGGTGCTGCCTATTTAGGCTGGGGATGCACAGAGCGGGAGAGGAGGCTGCACCACTCACAGCTGCCTCCCAAGCCCAACAAGGGTGGGGATTCCTGTTTCTGTACCCCCAGGCATGTTCCCAGACTGTTAGGCCTGAGCAGAACCAGGGCTGTGGTGCTGGCTCTGCCCAGTGGGACAGGTGAGCCTGGGGTGGGTAGGTACAGGGACAGGACTTCCCACTTCCACTGAGCTTCCCATCTTCTCTGTGCAACCCCAGGCTGGTTGGGCAGCACCAAGCCCCACACTCCATGCCTGATGGCATCCAGCTGCTATGAGCAGTTCAGGGGTTTCAGGTGTTCTGGGGCCAGAACAGGTGGGTGGGCTCCAAAAGGGAAAAAAAATATCAGGCCCCTCATTGCTCAAGCAGTGAATTTATCCTGCCTCTAACCTCTAATGGCAAATTACAGCTGTGCAGGTAACTTTAAGGTGTGATTGCTCGATTATGCTGAACAAGTTTTTTTAAAACTTCTTTACAGTGAGGGTTGCCAAAATCTGGATTGGGCTTCTAAAGGAGGTGGTGATCTCCCCTACCTTGGGGGTCTCTAAGAGGAGGCTAAACATGCACCTGGCTGGGGTCATCTGACCCCAGCGCTCTTTCCTGCCCAGGGCAGGGAGTCAGACTCAATGATCTGACTTTACGACCAGGTGACCTATCACCTGGACAAGGGAGAAGAGATTGATGTCATATATCTTGACTTCAAAAAAGCCTTTGATTTGGTGTCCCATGATCGCCTCTTGGAGAAACTGGCCAATTGTCGCCTTGGGTCCTCCACGATCCGCTGGCTGGAAAATTGGCTCTGGGGTCGGACCCAGAGGGTAGTAATCGATGGAGGTCACTCATCGTGGTGTCCTGTGACCAGTGGGGTCCCCCAAGGCTCTGTCCTTGGACCCATACTGTTCAACATCTTCATTAATGATGTGGACACTGGAGTCAGAAGCGGACTGGCCAAGTTCGCCGATGACACCAAACTTTGGGGCAAAGCATCCACACCAGAAGACAGGCAGGTTATCCAGGCTGACCTGGACAGACTCAGCAAGTGGGCGGACGAGAATCTGATGGTGTTCAACGCCGATAAATGCAAGGTTCTCCACCTTGGGAAAAAAAACCCGCAGCATCCTTATAGGCTCGGCAGTGCTATGTTG